GGTTACTCGGTTCCATTGTACTATCTGCTTTGGCTTTGAATACTTGGACTTCAGTGTGATATTGCATTCTGGATTTCTGTGCTTCGTCCATACTCGTGTTCCTTGCAATTTGGTATCAGAGCTGGTTTGATCGCCACTTACCTTCGGCATGCTGGCGTTGTACAGACTTGGTGCGTTGACAATGCTTCTTCGCAGTGGGTACTTGTGACGTCAGGCCACATTAGGTGCACGCCCTGGGTAGAGAGGGGTGCACCGGAAGGCTATTACGGCAGTGTGTGCCGTGGGATACAGCGGAATGTTTGATTGATGATGAGAGCATGCTGATGTGGCATTGGACTAAGGTGGCACTGCATTGCGTTGTGGGTGGTACCGAGGTCATGACCGGTCATCAAATGCAACATCAGCTCAATTGGTGAGAAATCTGTGGTTGGGGGCAGCTATCTCCAGGTATGTTGATCCCTTACCTTATCTACCCTCTCAATCTCTTCTTACCGTGAGAAAGTGAGTCCAACTTGAGAGTCCTCTCCTTGGTGAGGTGTCGTGAGCGCGCTACCTTGAGAGACGACAATCTTCCCGGAAGCATCTGGAAGGAGAAAGGGCGGTGCCTCTGAAGGGCCCTGGTCAAAGCACTGGGTCACGGTCACCATGCCAACCCACAGGGAGTAGTGCCCGCATGCGATGGCTGCTGTCCTGTTTTTGGCACTTGCTGCGCTCAGATAGAAGTCTTGCCTATGCCAGCCTTGTATGAGACGCTTACCAGACCGTCTATAAACGTTTCTGGTTGGGTACATGGAATGATTCTGGCTGTGATCGTCGTCCTGACTGCGACGTTAAAGAATTCCTGAAGAGATGGGGGCGCTCTATAAATTCCTCCTGATCAGCCAGATCATCCGTGTGTAAGGCTCGTTTCCGTACGAGGGTAAATAAGAGTGGGCTGGCTGGCTTACTTGCCTCTGACTTGGGCACAGGGGTGGGCTGATATACACACGAAAACACTGCTTTGCTCAAGATGCTGTTCGGTATGTTGGATCGAGGGGAGGGTAGGTTCCAATTGGAGCTAAACTATGTACACAACTATACCCATCAATCATACATCTGCTACATTGTCTTTTTGTACCTTTGATTAGTTGGTTGACGGACTGCTAACCTCACAGACAGATTAGTGCAGGACTGTTGTATGCTACCATAGCCAGTGCTAACTAATGCTGTTGTAAGAGAAGCAATCAGGGTGCATCTAGACTATGTAGACAATCTGTGAGAATGTTGTAGACATGCCACTTGATCGGTACAGTAAGGGACTTGCCGGACACAACCATTTCTAGAAAATTAGGTGTCGGTCAGACACATGCTGCGGTAGGATTCCACTAGGGGATTCTAGTGCAGACAATGTTTGCCTAATTCATGAATGGATCAGACGTCGACGAGGAGGGTGTTGACGATGGTAGACTAACACGTGCAAGATCAAGTAGGATCCCGTACGTGTTCAAGACCTTAGACGAGGGAGAAGAAAGACGGCTTCGTGTCGAAAGCAGAGCCCGTGCTCTCGCAGCATCAAGAGCAGCAGCAAACGTTGCCGCTAGGGAACATGCTGCAGCAGCAGCCAGGGCAGCAGCCATGACTTCTGCAGCAGCATCCTCCGCTGCACCTTCTGTTGCGTTCTCGTCTGGACCACTGTTTGGAATGCCAACAGGGTCCGCGGGCACTTCCAGTTCATCAGGTTCTAGACAGTCTACAAGTCAAATGGCGGGCTCGCAGTTCAGCCCGTTGACTCCTCGCGAAAGGGAAATGAGGGAGCTCCAACAGGTCGAAAGGATCCGTGAACAATTAGAGAAGGAACTGAAAGAAGCTACCGATAGAGAAAAGGAGATAAAGTATAGAGCAGCCAGGCTTGAAACGTTAGAGTCTGACAAGGCTGACTTGGAGGGCTTAGATGACTCAGGAATGAATGAGCCCATGAAAGTATTGAGGAACAACATGCTGTCGCTGCATGCGCATGTGGACAGCAGGTTGGACTTCATGCAAAGCACTTTGGACCAGATCCTGGACATCCTAACAAGGCCAGGATTTAGGCCACCAGCACAATCGTCGTTGCCGTTATCGGCGATGTCAGGCCCTTTTCCAGTTCAAGCTGGTACACAGCCGTCTGCAGCAGCCGCACAGACTGTTGCATCTTCTTCTTCGGGTCCAGCGGTGATAGCTACATCACCGCAACAACCTGTTCAACAATCTGGACAGACGCAAGATCAATGGTATCCTAAGACCCCGATGAAACCGCCTCTTGCCTTCTCAGGCGAGAGAAAGGACGAGGAAACTTGAAGGTAAGGCAGCCAAGTGGTTAGATGGTGTAGTTGTGAAGGCCGGATACGGGCGATGCATGGCGGACTGGGCTAAGACACTGTCGTTAGACCAGTTCATGGAGATGGTAGAAGCTCGATGGCATAGCCCACAGGAGGCTCAAAGGGCCACTGATGCCATTAACAAACTCGACCAACGTAAGTTCAAGTCGGTTAGAGAGCTTACGACTACTGTCGAGAGCCTGATCCTCGTTCCAGGCATCAACTACATCGATCAGTTCCTATTGACTACGTTTGTCAGATGTCTCCCAGAGAACATAAGGAACTGACTAGCCAGTGAGGCACGCACTGAGTACCACTCGTTTGAGACATTGTCTAGGAAAGCCTTAGACTTAGAGGCCGCTAGGCAATGCTCAACCCTCCTCAGGGAATGGCTCAAAGAAGAAGAAGAGTCCTCAGGAGTGGAAGAAGAAGGGGGCGAAGTTGATGATGGTTGAGTCTGATGGGACTCAAACTGAGATCGATGAGCTTTCTGACCTGATGGGCTACTCAGAGTATGACGGCGAGGAGGTAGTTGAGGGTAGCACCCTCGCCGCAGTATCAACTGCGGGGAGTACGGACACTCGCAGTATAAGTGCCATAACGCTAAGGTTACGCAAAAGATTGCTCCAAAGATGGGGGCATCTTATTCCCAGGCTTCTAGCTCGGGAAACGCGTAGGGCCAGTGGAAGTTGTAGCGGCTTCTACTCAAGATGAAGTGAGCAAGATACCCTCCTCACTTCATGACAAGGCCGAAGCTAATGACTCCTTAGTCACCCCGCAGA